ACGATTAAAGAGTATAAATCAAATAAAAGACAGTCTTAAAACAAAATGTACAAATGGTCTAGTGGTAGAATAGTATTCTGCCACAGTACAGACCCCGGTTCGATTCCCAGATGGTGAATTTTTTTTTACATAATTAAAATACAGACCAACTTTGGTCGGAAAAAACCGACCAACTTTGGTCGGTTTTTTTTTGCAATATTTTTTTTTTGAATTTAATTGACCGACCAAAGTTTACCGACCAACTTTGGTCGGTAATTTCCGACCAACTTTGGTCGGTATTCCTTTCCGACCACAAAAATACCGTCCACACGTAAATGGTCGCGTTTTGGTCGGTTTTTTGCCATTACCGACTAACGTTGATCGGTTTTTTTGGTCGGTTTTTACCGAATTTCTAGTAGTGATTTGAATTGAAATTAGAAAATAAAATCGTGAAAAATATTTTGGGGGGACTATTCATAAAGGAAGAAAAATAGAATAGATGAAAAGCTACGATATTGTTTAATTTAATGAGAGAAAAACTTTATCATATCTACCAAATTTAAAAATAAAATGTTAAAATTTGTTGTCCGCTGACACACAAATTTACCAATTTTACTAACAATAAGGGCTCAAATAATAATGAATATCATTATTCCCAACAGTTAGACCCTTCTTTGGTCTAAAGACTTATTATAGGAATTAGGAAGGTATACCTTGATGTCACGTTGTGACTATGGTAACTAACCTTATTATAGTGCAAAGGTTTCGATTTGCGAGCTTCATATTCTAATCAATTTCGTGGGTAGATATTTAATGATAAACAATGTGGTGTCTATTTATTTTTTTCTTTTTCTTGTGCCAATATAGCTTATAAAATCAAGGAAATTTCAGATTTTAGCAAATTCAATCATGTAAACGTTCTTGCTAAACTTATTGCCGCGGGATTCAATATAATTTTGACAACTTAAAAAGGTTACTCGTAAGGGGCCGGGAACTAAAATTGAGTGTCGAATTAATTAGTTCATGTTCATCTTCAAACGTAGGTGTCACACGGCTTACAGTTAAGAACTTATAGTATCCTAACAGTGGAAACGTGGCTTAAAACAGAAGTAACCAGCACATATACAAGTGACAGCAAGACACAAGCAATAAAATACCTCTGTCACAGACAAATATATATGCATTAACATATAGCTGGCCATTTCATAATCAAGAACTAAGTGCAAGAAGAATAGTTTGATAGCCTACTTGTGAAAAAATTATGGCTTCTTCAATAGGACCATGGATGGGTGGTGGACGTCGTAGAGATTGGGATGTTGGATTTAGCAGCCCATTTGCTTCAGATATATGGGATCCTTTTAACATTGGTGGATTAGGGTGGAGGCGTGGTGGCGAAGATGATGTTTCTGCTTTAGCTCATGCTAATGTGGACTGGCGTGAAACTGATAATGCTCATTTTTTTCGTGTTGACCTTCCTGGTTAAGCATCAAATCCTAGTTTCTTTTTTTATAACGAAGAACTTTTGTAATTCATGAGTTTTTGTGGACAACATTTTTGAGTTAGTTGTGTGACACTCTATAGGGTGTTCTTGATGGGCACGTCTTTTCTTATTTGCGTCTTGACTTCTATTAATTAATTAATATCTGAGTTTTTTTTTAAAAGAAAATTTAATAGTTTAAGCTTGACAAAACGAAAGGAGTTCATTGTCTTTGGACATGAATTTTAGTTTAAGTTTGTCTTTGGACATATATTTTACTCAAAATAGTTCAAGATTTGTGCAAATTAAGTGTCTTTATACTCCTATGAAATAATTTTTCATATCAGTACTTTAGTGGAGTATTTTTTTTTCTTGAAGTTTAAATACTGAACTTTAGTATTTGCAAATGTTGATACCTACAGATGTCTAAATAGTATACTTACATTCAAACGGGTCGTGAACGATTTTAATTTATGTTACTTTTTGGGTTTAAATTGGTTAAAACAGACCATGACTTGATATATGCTGGTATCATAGAAGAATACTTCTTATTGATATCCTAGATTAACCACTTCTAGATGAGCAAAGAGAGAGAAGTCACAAAGTTTTTCAAGGATTAGACCGTAGATAACAAAAAACTTTTAGCAAAGTAAAGATGTGCGAACTGGATTATGTGCCTTAATTATGTAAGGCTGGTATTTGTAAAGCTAAAGCTAAGTGCCTTTTCAAAATGGCAGGGGTGAAGAGAGAAGATCTGAAGGTGCAGATTGAAGATGACAACATACTTGAAATAAGTGGTGAAAGAGTGAAAGAGGAAGAGCAAGGCACAGACAAGTGGCACCGCGTAGAGCGTAGCCGCGGCAGCTTCAAGAGGAGGTTCCGTCTGCCGGAAAATGCCAACGTCGAAGGCATAAGTTGTGGCCTTGAGCATGGAGTTTTGACTGTGAACGTGCCCAAGAAGGAAACACAAGAGGTTCCAAGAAATGTTAGGGCTATAGATATTGTTTAAATCACTAGTCTTTTGGCTTTGGGTATTGTAGTACGTGTGTTGCGAGTTTGGCTTTGTAGTCCTTGTGCATGCTATGTGTATATGTTTGTTTGGTATATGTAGTGCCTTTAAATAAGTGAATGAAGTGTGGTCAGTTGGACAAATATACTCTCTCCATTCACGTTTACTAGTTCGCTATGGATTTTGTTTGTGAAAATAGCACGGCCTAATCAGTTTTCGTACCGGTAATAAAAAATAGTCAGTATTTGTAAAATTATTAAAAAATAGTTATTATTTTGTTGCAACACGGAAAGTTTCAGTATAATATACTAGAGATTGGTGCATATGTGTCTGAATTTTCAGCATCTCCCGCACACAAAAAGTTTTAACATAATATATATCGAAGATGTACACATGTGTCTGAACTTCCAGCATAATATGTTGGAACTTCAGAACACGAAAAGTTTCAGCATAATATATACTGGAGATTGGAGCGCATGTTTATGAACTTCCAGCATAATCACGTGTAAAAAATTTGAACTATAGTATATTATGGTGAAATATTTTTCGGATTTTGAACATTATTTTCGTTCATTATATCTTTACACAAAAAGTGATTAAATTTCGATTACTCTTAAAATTGTGGTTATTTTTTAATTATTACTTGTCAATCTGACTATTTTTGAATTTTACCCATTTTATATACCTTTTAAGAAATAATAAATGAAGTGTATAATTTATGATGATGTTCATATTAATTAATTTATAATTTTAATAGATTTGAGAAAATTATTTGAAATGAATAATTAATGTTGTAGGTATAATACGGAAAAAATTATCTTAATATGTTAAAAGTGACGAATAAAAGTAAAAGTAAAAAATCTATTTTTAGAATACTAGATAAGTAAAAGTGAACGGAGGGAGTAAAACCTACTATTAAGGGTTTCCAGTTTCTAGAGTTCTGCAGTTCAAAATTCATGAGTAAGATTCAGTGGACGTTAGTGTGATTTTACTGGAAAAAAAGCAATTTTTGCTGTATATTCATCAAAAATCTGTTCTAATTGAATATCATCATGGACCCCAACCATCCCGTTCAATCCAATGGCTATGAGTATCAAGTGGGTAGAATGGGTCAAGTTTATAGACATAGGAGACTTTTAATTTGGCGGGAACTGCTGACTAGGATGCTGATATGGACAAAGAATTAGAGGGGGGATTGTTAGGTGTAGAGGCAATTCCAAAAAGTGCGTTATTGGTAGGGGTTTGATTGGGACTAAAAGTATAACGGGATAAATATAAATAATATATCATAGTATTTTGTCCAACGGGGCAATGTAAATAATATACCAGTAGAAGGGAAAATCGGAACTTTATCCCTTTATAAAATGTGTTATGTGAACTAAACAAAATATATAGAACTGCGCATACAAGTAACAAGAAGAAAGCAAAGAAAGAGCAAGTACTTCGAGATGAAACACCAGAATTAGTAAATCATCTAAGTTGAACACAAAGGAGAGTTCAGTTAGATGTGGAAGATCTTTACCAAATAGACTATCTTTCCCTAATCTATGGTGCTGACAATACATATTACTAACCATTCTAAAGACTCAATTCAAGTTTTAATAATACAATTTTACACTGTCAACAAACATTACTGAGACTTCAGCCAATGCAGTGAAAACAGCATTCAGTTACAACAACATAGTGTTGCGACCAAACACACTCACACAAGTATACGCGGTCGTCAAGTAATAAAGAGACTAAAAGTCGGATGTCGAACCCACGAGGACTTATGATTAACTATTAACTAAATTAGACTATCATAATTATCTAAACAAGAATTAAACCTAAAAATATTTGATTCTAAACTAATTAAATAAAAAATATAAATAATGAACTTTGAACAAAGAAAGAGCAGATTTTTATGATATCAATGTAATGAAAACGATCTAGGGTTATGGGCTATCTAACAATC